CGTTTTGGAAAGTTTCATTTCCGGTTAGTATGTTTAACTCTTTAATAATTCATAATGGCGTCGGCTATGAAGGGTGATGTAAAAATGATACTATTATTATTGTTGTTGATGTTGTTATTATTATTATTATTATTATCATCATCATCATTATTATTATTATTAGTGACGATGACAATCCTTATCAAAAAATTCCACACACACATACACACACACACACACACACATAAATATTTATTGCGTTGTTTTATTTTCTCATTTGACAATTTTTTTTGTTATCATCTTCATCCCCATCTTGTGAGTCAGCTGAAAAATAAATTATCACCAAGGTCAAGTAACTTTAAGCTGCTTTCTTCACCTTTACCACCTGCAACACCACCATCATTATCACTAACAATCTACTCCTCATTTTTGTCATCGTTACCATCATCATTTTACTCATCATCATCATCATCGTCGTTATCATCATCATCTCTACCCAACATCAACATCATCGTAATTATCATCATTCTTATTATATTTCAATCATCATCATCTATTATATCTCATTCATCATCGTCGTCGTCGTCACCATCGTACTAAATCAAAATTCCAGCAGATGTCTTCCCAACAAAAGGAGGAAATCTCTCCCTCCAATTTCATGACAACGAAAAGGAATTGAAGTCACCATTATCATCTGCAGTAACTACAACAACTACAACTACCACTATTTTTACTACTACCACCACTATTACTACTACCACTACCACTACTACAGTAACAACCACAATTAATTCATCATCATCTGCAATCACACCAATGCTTTTTTCGGTGGTTTCCGCAACAAAATCCACGAGAACACTGACGATAATTAAACCAGATACTCTAGCATCAACAACATTAATTACAACAACAACAACAACAACAACAACAACAACAACAACCTCATCAAACATAACATCACTAACAACAACAACAAAGAAGTCGTTGCATGAAACACCAGCCGCAAACCCGTTAAAATTTCTTGACTCAAAAGTTAGTGATAACGGTTCTTTAATGATGACCAACATCATACAGAGCCAACTACATTCAACAAAACCGACCAGAAAATTTTCTACAAGCGACGGTAAAATACATGACATTACGTCTGATGCAGCTGACTACGTGCTTAAAACAAATACTACATTAACTACAACTAATACTATATTAACTACAACAGTTACTACTACTACTACTTCAGCAACAATTTCATGTAACAACAACAACAACAACTCGACTAGAAACATTAACAACAACATCAACACAAATGACATGAAGAAAAACAATGACAAGAACATCTCGTTCAAATCACATAACTCCTTACACAGTGGCGTCAGCAAAGAATTAAATTTCAATGGCAAAGACATTGGAAACAATTTAAAAGTAAACAACAGAAACTTTAGCATTGGCAATAACAGCGAAAACGACTATAAAAATAATTACCAAAAACCAGTGAACATTGATTCTGATCAGCGTCAATTAGCTGTAACGACGACAACGACAACAACAACGACGACAACAACAACAACGATGGCAACATTAACAAGATCATCATTTTTGTCGACGCCATCATCACTACCGATGCTTTTAATTGCAACTTCAACAGCGTCATCTTCATCATCATCGTCGTCTTCTTCTTTATTATATTCATCTTTTTTTAATTCCTCAGCGTTAGCATCATTAACAACATCCACTTATACTGCTGCTGCAACTACGACTACTTTTACCACTACTACTACTACAACTATTACTACTACTGCAACTACTACTACTACTACTACTACTACTACTACTACTACTACTACTACTACTATTACTACTACTACTACTACTTATGCTACTACTAATATTACAGCAACACCAAACACAATCACCTTAACATCAACAAATGAAACAACACCAACAAAGCTCTCCTCACTGAGAACAACATCAATAACAATCTTACTAGACGCAGCTACCGCAACCATATCAGCCACAACATTCACATCAGCTACTACAACAACAGTAAAGACGACAAACAAACTATTAACAAACTTACTAAGCATGAAACGAAATAGCTGCGCGCCTAGAATTGAAATAACGCCTGTCTCCACTACACTCAAAACCAACAATAGTAAAATTAATTTTGAATTTCAAAATTCCTCCTCACTAATATCCACAGTTACTACTGCTTACACTACTACTACTGCCACTACTAAAACTACTACTTTTGCTACTGTAGCCGCTACAAATACTACACTTTTTACAAGGGTAACTACCGCGTCGTCATCGTCGTCGTCGGCATTAACAAAATTTAACAGAAAAATGTCCGGACCAAATTTTTGTTCTTCAGTCTCAACTTTAACTACGGCTCTTTTGACTAAGCAAAATAATGATAATAATAACAATACTATTGCTACTAATACTGCTACTACTACTACTGCTGCTACTACTACCGCTACTACTACTACAACAACAACTACTACTATTAATATAAGTTCATCATCTATAGTTCATAATTTTTTGAAACAGTTTGCTAATAAGTATACTGGCAAAAAGAGCACACTCAACAATAGTAATAACATCATTAACAACAACAACAACAATAACAATAATAATAATAACAACAATTTTAACAGCAACGACTGCAATATAAACATCCATAGCATCAATGTACACAGTGACTGTGTAGCTGAACAGAACAGCAAATGCATTAAAAGTAACATGGAGAATGAAGCAATTCACATCAGTACAGTGAACCAAAATGACAACAACAATAACAACAACACAACAAACAACAACAAGACTCACAAAAGTTTTACAAATGCGACAACGTCAACAACTTTGAGACATTTCCACACGAAGCAACACACAATATCATCGCCGTCTTCATCAACCGTTTTCCTCATCACATCAGCCAACAACCACAACAACAACAATTGCGCTAGCCACAACAACAACGCCACACCGAATAGTAGTGGCTTCAGGGCCTCCATCGACACGGACTACGATTTAACCAGCACAAACAACAACAACAACAACGACACGAGCAATCAAAAACCAACAACAAATAGCAACAACAATACAAATGACGCAATTAACAACAACAACAACAACAGCACAAACACAACCAGCAACACAAACAACAACAACGCACACGTAACCCTGAAACGGATGTCCCTGCCTCGTCAACAACACACTAGCGTTACTTTCAGAAGAGCGAAACACAGGCACATGACAGTCAACTCAGAAAGAAGGCACAAGAAAATCACGAAGCTCGTCACAAGTGTCATCATCGTCTACGTCGTCTGCTGGCTACCTTACTACGTATTTCAGGTTTTTTAATCTTTTGATTAAAAGATTAAAAAAAGATTAAAAGATTAACTGATTCCGGATCATTTTTTGTTGAGATAATTGGATAATCATCAGTTATTACTTGACCAGATTTATGGCATATTACATGAATATAATGATGACGACTTTGTAAAGTTTAATATGGAAATGATTAAATGATAACGTGATGATGTTTTGCTTTAATTTTTTAAGAATGTTTTCTCTTATCACATCAACTAGTGATGATGGCGATGATGTGGTGTAGTGATTACATGGTAAGTGTCTTTATGTTGTTTATGCTGTTCACGTATAAATAAACAAGACAATAAAAATAAAAACGCTCAAATGGTAGTTCATCCATGAGATATTTAATGACTCTTAACAACAATTTTGTCCTAAATTTTAAATTAATCTACTTTTAAAATCACAAAATTTGAAGAACTTCATTTTCCGCAAAATTTTCACTCTTTTTAAATAAATCTAACTAATTTTAAAACAGAGTAATAAAATTTAATTTGTACAAAAAAAAACAAATTTAAACTAAAAATAGTTTTTGAAGTTTAATTAAAAGTAATTTTCAGAAAACTTGAGATTGAAAATTTTCATTCAATCAAACGTAAATTATGAAGCCTAAAACCAGACGGTGTATCGGTTAAGACGCTCGTTCCTTTTGTTGCAGTGAATGGCTTCGAATTCAAAGATATCCCTGCCCATCACACGCCTTGCGTGTGTGATGCGTAAATTCACGCGAATTTGCATGCAAGTGCGTGTGTAGTAAATTCTCCTCCTTCCTTGTGTTTTATCCTTTCAGGACATTGGCGACCATCGACCTCCACAAACCCCTATCTTTGAAACTTTGTATTAGTTGAAATGAGGTGATATTGAACAAGTGACACAAGGACTTCCCGAATGTTGTTCGTCGTTAACCGCGATCTCTTTTCCATGCGATCTTTCTAGTAGTTGTTGGATTTTCCATTCTTCCCTTTCGCATGATGTGACCAAAAAACTTTAAATTGTAGTAAATACCTATAAAAAATAATCAAGTGTAACAATATTCACATAAAATATTTTAAAAATAAACAACCACAAAAAAACCTAATCAATTTTATTACCAGTACGATTTTTTTGAGCAACAGTTTTTTTTCATAGTTTTACGATGTTAGTAAAGATTGGTTGTAAAATGTGTTGAAATGAAACTTTATTTGCCTCTAGAGTCTCTTACTATATTTTTAATAGCCAGGTAAGGCGCTTAAGTAAGTAACCAGCCCAACCATTATTTTCTATTACAAACCTACTACTGCTACTTCTTTTTTTTCACAAAAATTTAATTCTTGGAAAATTGAAAATTGTTTGATTGTTTTTGGTTATTCTAGATAGTTTGATGTTCCAGTGCAATGCCATTATTTCTAACTTCATATGCTTCAGGGGTTGATTTTTATTGATTTTTTACATTTTTACATCTGTAGTTCAATTTTCATCTTTAATTTTATGAAAATATGACATAAGCACACATAGCAACAAAAATATTTATATGAAGAAATGGTAACAGATATCTAACAATGATGAACGATTTTGTGAAATAATATAAAAATTCCTAAAAAAAAGTGTAAAAGTTATATCAGTATTGTTATCTAGCAACGAACATTATTTGATGCCCTCATACTTTCATAAAACATCTAAAAAACATTGTAAGTCATAAGATACAACAAAATAAAATTATTAAATAAAAATTAGAAATAAATATAAAACCTAGGCGCAGAATAAAGCACGCCGAACGTAAAATATGACGTGCCGCTTATGCAATGCGATATCACCCGCATCCAACCAAACGACCAACATCCAACTAAGTTTTTTTTTTAAATCTTATATTTATATATTAATACTACAAAGTTTTTGAGTCACGTAATGCCTTGTTTAAATAATAGATCTGTAAATTTATATATATATATATATATATATAAATTTTATAAAAGTTTGCAAGCCACTATTTTAGTTGCATTTCTGGTTAGAATCAAAATTTCTAAAATTAAAAAAACTAAATAAAGATTTAAAATTTTCAAAAAACTATTTATCATTCAAAAATTATAAAATATTTATTAAAGAATGAAAAACAAAAATATTTATGATAAATGAATGCATTTTACGTAACTTAATATAACGTGCAAGCCATGTAGAGATGGTAGATGTGTTACATGGTTCTAATGACGATAGAGCCTGCGAGTTTGCGTTATCTACAAGGTCTTTCCGCGAATTTTACAGCATACGCAATGAATACGGAGAAACGCGTCTGCCTATGTCTGTGTGATGGTTCGTGGGTTTGCGTGTGTGTTTTTGCGTGTGTTTGTCATCTGTGTATTGTTTTGTTTGCTTGTTTTTTTCTGTTAGCGTATGCCGGCTGTAAATCACCTATATAAAAAAAAATATATTCCTCTGACATACTTTTTGAGTGATTACGTTAGGTTGAAAAGTTATTTGACGGGGTTTGAAAAATTTGCAGTTTGAAAGTTTGAAAAATGCTAGCTAGTAGTAATTTATTATCTCTTTATAAGTATTATACTCCTGGATTGTGAATTTTCTGTTGTTTTCTGAGTATTTCGAACAGTTTATTTTCTACAAATTGTTTAGAAGTTATAGTCGGCAACATTTTTATTACCTTTTTTTCAGAATTGTCATTTATGACAATTACATTATCTGCTATTTAATCATTCATTGCCCGTTCAATAATTTTAGTTGAATAATTAATTAGTTAATTAATTAATCATTAATGATTAATTAATTAGTTAATTAATGAATCAATCAATCAATCAATCAATTAGTGTTTATGCAATACACTTTGCAGCTCGGATAATGGACATTTATATAACGAAAGAACTTGTTCTCTGTTTTAATACATTTTTGCCAATAGCAGATCTAACAAAGCCAGACAGAACAGAAATTCTATATCAGAATTGTTTTATTTATTCAGAAAAACAAGAAAAGAATTAAAAAAACTGGTTTTCGTGTAGTTATTCAAGCTAATGAATATTGTTTTTTTTAAATTTGAGATTGTTGTGAAATTGTTACATAATATAAATGAACAAAAATATTAAAATGGAGCAAAGAATTTTAGCAAAAGTTTTTGCTCTCTTCAGACTAAAACAAATTAAAATTTTAAAATTGTTTCTACTAGCTCCAAAAATATACTTTTTAGATATTTTCCACCACTCAAATAACTTTTTCGTTTCAAGTGAATGAATCGTTTCAAAAGACTTTCTGATTTTTCATATTTCGAAAACATTTTTCAAACAATATAACAGAAAGATCGTAAGATATCAAAAAAAAAAAATTTAACCAATAATATAACAAACTTCCAAACAGGGTACAGATTCTGACGATACCAGTGTGCTATGGAGACACTGACGCACCGTAGGCCTATAATAATCTTGTGGAAATCCAGAGTCTTTAACACGAACCTGTATATAATAATTTTTCATCAACATATCTTTGAAATTATATATTTCAATTTCAGTTTTTTTCCTATTTTTTTCAATTAATAAATTCATCATTGTGAAGTCTTCATCCGACCTGCTGGCGTTGTTTTGACATACTACTCATTTACTACATCTTTATCTTTCTACAGCTATCCGCCATCAAATTTTCATCAATATCATCATCGTCGTCATCATCTTTATCATCTTCATCATCGAGATTATCATATTCGTCGTTGTCGTCAGTTTCATCGTCACCATCAATTCTTATGAGCAATTTAAATTAAGCGATAGAAGTAGGAGTTAATTCATGATTCTCACATACCAGAAACCATACTTCTGAATTATAGATTGTGGATTTTTAATGAATTCACCGCTGAATTAATTACTAATAAATTGATAAAAATAGCTTTGTTGGCATGCGCTGAATTAATTTTTCTCGTAAATTTAACTCTTTCAATCTACTAAAATTTCTTCAATTGCCATTTTTAGATTATAAAAACAACAAAAATTTAAAATGAAAATAATTAATTCTTAAAATAAATTCTCAAAAAACTTTCGTTCGTCACTGGGGTAGCTACTTAGCAAATTGACATAGAAAGAAGGAGCTAGTAACGTTTTAAAAACAATTGGAACGGAAGCGTGGAATGAATACAACCACGTTCATTTATTTTCTTTAAACCCAAATTTTTATCCATTTCAATATCTCGATGGTGGTTATGATGATGTGAAGATGGTGATGTTGATGCGATGATGATGATGATGTTGATGTGATGACGATGATAATGATGATGTGTTGATGCGGATGATGTCAATACAATGACGACGACGACGATGATGATGATAAAGTCGTACATTATTTATTTCCAGCAATTTTCAATAAACCTTTGCATAAATAATGATTTATGGCGACCTTTGCAGCGTTCGCAGTTAAAAAAATTTAATAAAGAGAAAACCTTTGAATTCAAGAATTTTGACGTCTCGAAATAAAAATAAAACTATTTCAAATTGAATTTCTTTCCATACTGTCAAAAATATTTTATCAAATTAAATTGCTGTTAAACTGCACAACAACAACGACGACGACAACAACAACAACACGACAAAAACAACAACAACCACAAATTTAATAATTTTCTCTGTGCTACAAACATTCATAGTTGCATTTGTTTGTTCATTTTTTAAAAATACACACAAAAACAAAGTAGTATTTAAACCAATTAATTAGCGTGGCTCTCTAGCTAGGCCCATGTTTAAGCCAATGATAATAAACTTAACCCTTTAACAGTTTGCCCTTCTGTTCGATGGTGACACGTTTTACAGGCGACCATGGACTGTATATCTCTACTATACGTGTAACGCCTTCACCTACCTACACAGTGTCTTCAACCCACTGCTCTATGCTGTAACCAACAAAAATTTTCAAGATGCTTTCAAAGAAACATTTTCCTGGTGCTACAAGCGTCGGCCAATCAGGAGGAATGTAATTAGGTCGAGGGATTTATCAAGGTCAAAACAAGTTCGGACGAGGCAGGTTCATAGAATCAATGTTTGAGAAGATGTTGCAGTATTTTTAGTATTTTTCATAGTGTATTTTATTTATTTAAAAAAATTTTTTTGTTTTGCTGTTAATAAGTTTTTAAATGAAAAAATTTACTGCGTTAGCAGATTGAATATCATGTTTTTAGAGATACATTTTTTTTGTAGCCTAGTATTATAAGTTAACCTAAAATTTTTGATTTGTTAGCCGCCTATCATAAAAAAAAGTTGACTTCATGAAATGGTATGTGGCTTTCTTTCGTTTCCATCTGTTTGCATTTGCTCAATTTACATCCATTGTACATTTTCATCTTTATTTGGCAATTTATTTTAAGTTTTTTTCTTCTTGTTTGCCATTCATTATTCAAGATTACAAAATTGTTTCATTACAGAAGATGACGGTTTTTATGTGGACGCGCGTGTGTCTGTATGTCTGCGTCTGTATGTATATCTTCATCATAACCATTAATTGCAATAAATTTATGTTTTCTTTTATCAACTGTGACGATTTTTTACGGCATATATATATCCATTAATTGTATCACGTAACGTGTACTTAGTACTTAAAAAATACTCATTACTTAGTACTTAAAAACGGCTTGCAGAATTTTTAGCAAGTGTCGAAGGCTACAGAGGCGTTAGTGTGCCAGTGCAAATTAATGATATCTTCATTGAATTTGTTATGCTGGCACGTCCGCGTGCCATATTTGGACATTAAAAGTTCTTTGAAATTAAAGAAAAAAAATGTTTTTTTTTCTTTCATTTCTGACTGAATATAAAAAAAACGTTAAAAATGGCGGTTAAAAAAAAACTTCGGCGAATGGACATACGCAAACACACGGACACATACATACAGACACACACATACACATACATACACATACACACACAAACACACACGTTTGCAAAATTACCCATTATTCAACACAATCTGCAAATAATCCACGACTAATCCGTTCCTGGCTAAGATAGGGCGCCAACAAAACGTACCTTCCTGTGTGATTAAAAGCAAGGGTGTCAATGATATGGATACAGTATCCCAATGATACAGGGTATCAATATGAACGATCTAATTATCTTCAGCGGTATTGTAATACTGCACAGATACATACACAACAACAACATAGGATACATACAATACGAGTTTAATAAAATGAATAGGACATGAATGTTCTGAAATATAATTGCATACTTAAATTACACTAAACTTACACTACATACGCCACATAAACATCCACACACATACACATTCCATCTAGAAAAGACACAACACACACACACACACACACTGAGAGAAGACTGATAAAATTACTATTCATACAAAGATTTTTTGAAAAAAAATTATTATTCATACAAAGATTCGGGAAGAAAATTCGCACAGCTTTGAAATTTTTCCCCCTTGCAATAGTCAATTTTTAAAGTAAATTACGATCGTCGTAAATTATTACCCGCGAATTCTTCATTAATTAACCAAACACACAATGAATAAGTAATATACCAATAGTTTACAATGTTGGATATATTAGCGATTATTATTATTATGGTTGTTGTGTTATTATTACTATTATCATCATCATCATTATCATCATCATCATCATCATCATCATCATCATCATTATCATTATTATTATTATTATTATTATTATTATTATTGTTATTATTATTATTATTATTATTATTATTAAGTGTTTTTAACTAAATTGTTTGTCGCGTAATTTTGTCATGAAAAAAAAAGGAAAAGAAGAAAAAAAAAATTTTTTTTGCAATCTTGTGCTCGGTCTAGACGGAGAAAAATTGATCACCAACGCCACCTACAACGTAGACAACAACATAAACAACAACAACATAAACGACAACAAAAATTGTCATAGTAGTAACGATATTAACTATAACAATAACAACAACAACAGTTATACTATTACAATGGTAACCACGACAACAAAAAACAAACAACAATAAATCCAACAACAACAAAATAAATGAAAAGATTAACAACAACAACAACAACAACAAATATAATGATATCTATAATTTTTCTTCAAAAACACCCACCAACTTTTAAAATTTAATTTATTTCACAGAAAAAAGAAAAACATTTTTTTTGCAAGTTTTACAACGCAACTCATCCATGGTCAATTTCATTGAATGAAAAAACATTCAATCATATTAATTATATTTGTATAAAAATAGCTTAGACTATTTTTCTGAAAATAATAAAAAGGAACAAATTTCATCAAATTAAAATTATTGTCCAAACGAATCATTTAAATTTAGAAAAAATAGCGTTTTAAACGTTTTAAAAGTATTTAAAAGTCAGTCACAATATATTTTGTATATTTTATGTTTATATGTGTGTGTGTTTGTGTATATGTATGTATGTATGTATGTATGTATGTATGTATGTATGTATGTATGTATGTATGTATTTATGTATGTATGTATGTATGTATGTATGTATGTATGTATGTATGTATGTATGTATGTATGTATGTATGTATGCATATATTCATGTATGCATGCATGTATGTATTATTTTATTATTTTTATTATTTTTTTTTATTATTTATTAATTTTTGAAGGATGACCAAAAAAGATAAACTTGTGGATAGGCCACCCTTAACTAAAATTTCTAACTATAAATGTAACAGAAATGTCATGAAATACATACACATAAACTCACGCTCACACATACTTACAAACACGCACCATACTACAATTCATATCACAATACTGTTATACAAATCTGAAGAAACAGAATCAATGAAATGAAATGATCTGGAAACCAAACATACGCTCACTTACACACTCAAATAAATAGACACATAAACAAATATGGCCACACACCATACACATATAGGGCGTGGCCACATGTCTCAGGTAACAGCCGCGTGAATGGACATCTTACACATAGATATGTGCCCCTCCACATACACCCCTGTATATACATCCACATACATACATACATGTATGTATGTATGTATGTATGTATGTATGTATGTATGTATGTATGTATGTATGTATGTATGTATGTATGTATGTATGTATGTATGTATGTATGTATGTATGTATGTATGTATGTATGTATGTATGTATGTATGTATGTATGTATGTATGTATGTACGTATGTACGTACGTGCGTATGTATGTATGTATGTGTATAAATAGCATTCATTAAAACATGTTTCATTATATAGATAATTAGCGACATTATTAATTATAGCATCCCATTACACCGGACTCATTTTATTTGAAACCGTCATCTAATTTTAGAAAATTTATTTCTATTAAAAGATTTATTCTTTCAAATTTGATTATATATATATATAAATAAATATATAATTTATGATTGAGTTTATGTGTATTATTATTACCAAATAAATATTTTTAAGTTTGTTTATTTGTTTTTTTTGATGGTTATTTTACAAAAAAAAACATGCCAGAGGTAAAATGTTGATAAAAAATAAACAATCGTCACATGTTTTAAATTTCTTTGTTTGCGTTGTTCTCACTGATGTTAAATAATAATTGGAATCACGAATATTAAATGAACGGCTGGTAAAAAAAACTCGTCCGGTCGGCGAGGGAAAAAATTTTCATCACATCTGCTTAAGTTCTGCTGTGGTTTTTCAAGATTAAAAAATTGAAATAAAAAGTAGAGAAAGATAAAGAGAATGAGAAATGAAAAGTAACAAATAGAGTGAGTAAGAGAGCCACAGAGAACAAGTAGAATAAAAAAACACAGGCTGAAATTGTGGATGAAATGAGGTGGAAATGACTTTGAATGTTTCAGTAGATAGGTACATGAACCTATACTATATATATATATATAGGTATATATATATATATATGTATATATATATATACCTATATATATATATATATATATATAGGTATATATATATAATATCTGTCTCTTTCCATACATTTATAGTTAGCAAACAAAGATAAAATAAAACACATTTCAAGTTTATCATTGAGTCTTTTTGATTGTAAAATTCTTCATTAATTTATTTTGTCAATATTAATAGGAGTCCGCTTACGATAAACAAACTGCAGATATTTCATTTTTGTGTCGTTTCGTTTCGTTTCGGTATACGTTTGATACACACAACAATACAAGTGAACGTGTATTAATTGTGAAATCATTTGGGCTTGAACCCGGTCAACGCGTAACTCTTTTTAAAGACATTCTTTGCAAGACCAATTTTTAAACTCTACCTCTATCACGTAGTCATGACAGTCATCATTAATTTTGAAATACTTTTAAACAATTTGCGGTCATCCCCATAGCACGTAAAAAGTTGTTTCCTTAATAATGACCACCAGAACGATGATTTGAAAAATAACTAAATCACATGTGTATCTTATTGGTCAATCTAATGATATAATGACCTTTAACAACCAATATTATCCAAACTGTAGTTAATGACATACACGTGTTTGTGTGTGTATGTATGTATGTGTGTGTGTGTGTGTCTGTGCGTGAGTGAGTGTGTGTGTTTGTTTGTGAGTGGTGTTTTATCGTCACTGTGAAATATGTATATGTAACTAATGGCTTGACTAGTGATTTATAAGCACGTTTAATTTGTACGCGCGTGTATAGTGAAGTGCGTGTGTACGTATGTGTGTGTGTGTTTGTGTGTGTATGTGTGCACGCATTTTTATCTAATATATAAGAAAGTTTTTTAGATATCATATCTTTCAGAGTTAAACTTTCAAACTTGAATATTTTTTTGACAGGATGGTGGAACGTGTTTCTGGGAGCTTAGAAACAGTTTCATTGAGAATTAATATTATTTCTAGCCGCTTCGAGATTAATTTGCATATGATAAAATCTGACAACATATCTTGACAACCATTAAAACATCTTCTACGCGTCAGTTAGCTAATAAATATATAATGCTAATCTCTGGTTTGAAGTGAGTAAAACAGAAACTAAGTGGAGAGAAAAAGAAAAAAGAAAGAGAGAACGTTGAATGAAATGATCAAAATTGTTCAATGTTCAATGAATTTGAT